ATCAGACTCTGCAAATAGTACCAATCAATGATGTGATCAATGGAAACATAGCATGTTGTTAAAAAAAAGAATCCTTAATTGGTTCTTATGCTAGGATTCTGGCTTCATGGTGTCTGTGAACCCTCTAAAATTTAAGCATAAATTATTATGTGTATAAACTTTGGTGGAGGCAATGGAATGTAACTTGTTAACAAATTTCAAAGGGGGTCTGTGATTAAATAAGAGGCTGAGAACTAGTCATTTTCTTAATTGGTATGTGAAAATCCATTCTAGCTGTACCTGCCTTTTAAAATGTGCAATGATGACTAAAAACATGTTTCCTTCCCCCTCAGCTTTCTAAATACTACCTCAAGGTTTTCAGGACACGAACACTCATTTACTGCATCTGACACACCATTCTTAATATTTATCAGAGGAGATTCAAATTAAACTTTAAATATACTCTGACAATCATTCCTTCAGCTTGGGGTATGCTTGACCATTTCTGTGAAAGAGGCTAAAAGCTGTTTTTTAAAATATAGTGTCATTGTTTTTGTAAGTACGCACTGTCCTCACTGTGGGGCTTGAACTCACGAACCCGAGATCATGAGTCACAGGCTCTAACTACCGAGCCAGTCAGGCATCCCTAGGATAAAAGTTATTTGGAGCTTTTGATGATGGGATCCTGTCACCAATTTAGACTGTAAAAGTTAACCAAAAAAATTAAACACTTGGGTGGTAAAGCATGTTGGCATATGTCCAAAATCACAGAATTGTGCACGCGTGAAATATATACAGTTCTTTGTATATCAATTATACCTCAACAAGACTATTTTTCTATAAAAAGGAACCCAAACAGAAGAAACAAAATGCTGATGGAAAACAGACCAGATAACTAAAAACACGGCTTTACTGATTTAAATTATGTAACCCAGAACCACGGGCTGTGAAAGCAAAAACAAAACACCAAACAAAACTTGGGTGTTAAAACAGCAAGGAAATAAGTCAAAAATAAAATGTATAAAGAACATTCCTGAAATGACGGTGCCAATGACTGATAAATGAACATTTCAGTTATACCATACGTGCTCATGGAAACACTACATCTGAATGAGTTTCTTCTTAAACATTAGGTTTCCCGAGTCTCCCCGGGACGGAGAGAGCCTGTAATTGTGTAGGTCCCTGGTGTGTGTCATGACATAATTGGTCATATGTGGCCCCAGATATTCAAAGTGTGAGTGAACTCGGCTTCTCTTCTTGGATAATAGGAGGAAGCAGAGAAAATTCACACCAACTTTCCTGTCTTTCTAGAACAGGGGTTTTCAAACTTGGCAACTTTAAATAATCAATGGCAGAAGCTTTGAAAGATCTTGATGCTTAGGCCACAGCCGGACCAATTAAATCAGAATATGGGGTGGGGGGCCAGGCACCAGGATTTTATAAAATGTCCTGTTAGGCGCCAGTGTGCAGTTAAAGCTGAGAACTGTGACTCTAGCAAAACATAATTATTTTAAGACCAAATTGAGCCTGGGCTCTGAGGTTGTTTCAGAATGTTTTAAAGGCTGCCAAAATGTCATTGTTTGGATCACCAGCATTCAGGCCATTTACAGATGACCATGGATAACTCTCTGTAATAGTCATTAAAAAATAAAAGGTGTGTTGGGGGTGGGGGAGGCGTGCCTGGGTGGCTCAGTCGGTTAAGCATCTGACTCTTGATCTCAGGTCTTGATCTCGGGGTCGTGAGTTCAAGCCCCACATTAGGCTCCATCCTGGGTGTGGAGCCTACTTAAAATAAATGAACAAACAAACAAATAAATAAATAGTAAAATAAAATAAAAGGGGACTAAATGCAATTGGGTCCTGGAACAGAAAGAAAAAAGGGCATTGGTGCAAACTGGTAAAATTTAAATGAAGTCTACAGTTTAGTACTAATAACAATAGTATACTAGCACCAATGGTAATCTCTTTGTTTTGAGAAATGTAACACAGTTGGTAAGCTATTCACATTTGGGGAAGCTGGGTGAAGGGTATACGGGAACTCTGTGCTCACTTTGCCAACTCTTGTGAGCCTAATTCCTTCAAAATAAAAAAGTTAGAGTTGGATTAGAAGAGGACAAGGCGAAGCTAGTACTAACACTGCACAAGTGCGGATTAGCTGACAATATTAAATATCTGTTGGCACAAAGTCGTGCCCTGTGGACTTAGGCACCTCATTAAAGGACACAACTTATGGTGTGAGAAAAGCTTAGAGAAACTTCCAATCTCCTGTCTTCATTTTGCTTTTATGTAGCTCTTCTCCAGCCCCATGCAGATCCTACAAAATGTCATCAATGGCAGTTAATATTAAAGGGCTCAGGGGCAACATACGACCTACAAGTCGTATATTCTACCGTAAGGAATCATGATAGGGCCCGTGGTACTTGCACTGGGTACAGAATTTTATGGCCCATAAGCACTTTCCAAATGTTAGTCTTGCTGGGTTTGCATTAGGAAATATGCAAACCCATGGAGTATACCATGGGCTGTAATAAAAGATAAAACTTCAGTTTCATTTTGTTATAAGAGACACAGTGTGCACTTGCATAAATCTTTCTCACGCACACACACACACACGTGTGCACACATACACACACTCCACATCAGAGTACACACCCACAATTCACACATACTTTATTAAAGAGCCTGTGTTAGTCTGGAAGCGCCCAGAGCGAAGCATATGACCTCATATGACCACCAACGAGGCCGAGTCTCAGCCACAGGCACTACATTCTGGTGGTAGCTGACCTCTTTCCCACCAGGAAAAAGGACAAAAGTTCCGATAATGAATGAGGACATCAGCCGCCATCTGTTGGCCCCAGGTGTTGCCAGGCCACAGCTGACTACGCCCTGAGTCATGGCTATTCTTTTGTTTCTGTCTCCTTGTCCCGGTCCCTCGGGGGCCCCTGTTCTTGATTTTCATGGGGCCCCCGGCACTGGCCGACTCCCAGTGAGTCAGGCCCACCTGGCAGCCGCGGTCCTCGCCCACCGAGCTCCTGCAAGCTGCCTCCCACTCCTACACTCGCTGGATGGGCCCTCCTACCCGGCCTCGGGTGAAGGGGATGGTGACAGCTACGCTCTCCCTTGCCCATGCCAGAGGATGGCTCACATCCTCCCCAGGACTGCCTCCGATCCCATCACTCAAGGGGAGCAGGACGCTTTCTGCCAGCCTGGCCTCACACTTACACACGCAGGGGCACACTCACGCTTTCCTGGCCAGCCCAGAGAACCAGGAACGCGAAGTCCCACAACAGACGGGCCGTTTGATGGGCCAAGTGCACTGCCCTGTTGTCTCCCACTGTCCTTTCGGCACCGCGCGGCTTCGTGCTGTCCTCTCTCTCGGGAGGAGGGTGACTTTCTACCTTCCTTCCAGCCCGTGCTGTTCAGGCAGTGATGTGCAACATTCAACAGGAGTATTTCCTCCTCGTTGGCCTGGCACGACATACTCATTCTATGATTCTTGTTTATTCAAAAGGGAAGTCTAATTGGGACTCATGGAGAGTTCACGGATGTTTTAACAAGAGTAAACATACTTGGGCGATGTGAACAATGGGATATGATTAATTTGAACTTCTGGTTTCCTTCTAATTAGTGAAATGCATGAAAAGCAATTTAGAGGGTTTCACAGTGATTCTCAGGAAAAGGGGCAGAAAACATCTGCATTTGTGAAAGTGGACGCTCTCGGTGTGTATTTGTTTTAAAGGATTTGTTTTCTTACCGGGCTGGCTCCTTCCCACCAGAGCCCTCCAGCTCCCAGCCGTGCTTACTGGTCCTACTTCCAGGCCCAGTGATCATTCTAGACCAGGACTAACACTCCGGCTTTCCTTCCTGCTCAGTTCCCTACGGGCTCCAGGAGACAGGCTGACCTGGCTCTGCCCGGCTTTCCTGGGGACCGTGTGGCTCTGCTCCCCACGCCTGCAACCTGCTCACACCTCTGCCTGAAATGCTGCCAGTGTGGAAGGCAAATGTTCCAGTTCAGTCCAAGATGGTCCCAGTTTCTGTTCCCTTTGACTCACGCTGTCCGATTCAGGTAATAAATCAGATGGCCAGCTCCTGAGGCTAAATGTACCCATGTGCAGATACAGCCGATGACCTATGCTCATCCCAATGTGGATGCCTCCTGTCCCGGCTTCTGAACTTGTCTGGCCTTGATGGCACCATCTTGATTGGTGGGGCCTGGCCTTCCCTGTACTGTCTTGTCCAGTGACTCACCTAACCCTTATCTGCCAGTATTCTAGGAAATCATCTCTGTAATTCCAAATATTCGGAGGAGAGAGAGAGAGAGAGAGAGAGAGTGTGTGTTTGTGTGTGTATGTGTGTGTGTGTGTGTGTGTGTGTGTGTACACAAAGGGGAAGAAGATCATGAACCATTTCCTTTTTTTGCATCTTCTCCAGGAATCTGTGCCGGTACTCTCTTTTGCAAAGAGTACATTAAGAAGGAAATTGAAATTTTAGTAAAGATATTTCTTACTTGTGTTGCAAAATGCCACTTTACAGAGCCAAATTGAAAACCACTGAAAACAAATGTACTTCTCACCAGAGGGATGATATGAATTTTCGATTTTTATATTCAACTTCAGCCGAGACAGTGAAACTGCCAGATACTTTTCATTTGAATTTATCATCAAATTCATTTCCTGTTATTGTTACTCTAACACTGGAGAGAAAATATTTAATTTCCAGAAGTTTTCATTTAACTTTAATAGGAAACAAACCCATTCGAATCCCCTTTAGAAAAAATACACAATTCAGTTCTGAACACGAACCTGCTTGACTGTGAGAACTAGTTTACCTAATAATTTTATATTAGCATCACCCTAATTATATCCTTTGGCCGTTCCAGGCATGATCACAAGGTCTTTGAAATTTGGATGATGAACTTGGACTGACCCCATACCGCGGGACCCAAGTGGCCTGCAAGCAGATTCCGCTGTTGACAGCTGGGACTTTCCCTGTAGGATCCGAGGGCTCGGGGTAGCACTTACGTCTCATCTGTGAAGGCTATTCCGAAGTATTCCTTTTCCTTCAGGTTGAAGTGCGATGCCACGAGGTCCAGCAGCTCCTTGGCCAAAAGCTTGGGCTGGAGGGAGAATGAGATGGAAAAGGGACGAGTGAGTAGAGGTGACTCATCCTCAGACACACAATCTCAGGTTGATGTAATTTTTTAAATGGAATGTCTCAAAGCTCAAGGACATCAATGCAAGTGATTTTTTTAATGTTTTATTTATTTTTGAGAGAGAGAGACAGAGAGAGACAGAACATGGGAAGGGGCAGAGGGAGAAGGAGACTGAACCTGAAGCAGGCTCCAGGCTCCAAGCTGTCAGCACAGAGCTGGATGCAGGGCTCAAACTCACAGACAGTGAGATCATGACCTGAGCCGAAGTTGGATGCTCAACCAACTGAGCCACCCAGGCGCCTCTATGCTCCACGATTTTATTTATTTTTTATTAAAAAAATTTTTTTTTAACGTTTATTCATTTTTGAGAGACAGAGAGAGACAGAGCATGAGCGGGGAAGGGGCAGAGAGAGAGGGAGACCCAGAATCCGAAGCAGGCTCCAGGCTCTGAGCTGTCTGCACAGAGCCCAACGTGGGGCTCGAACTCATGGACTGCGAGATCATGACCTGAGCCGAAGTCAGACGTTCAACCAACTGAGCCACCCAGGCGCCCCTATGCTCCACAGTCTTAAATCCAAACAATAAAAGTATCTCCCTCCAGGAATGTTAAAATTAAGGTCAAAGAACCTGGGGAGTAGAACTGAAGAAAAATTACAAACTCACCCTCCAGCTGCCTTTCCAAAGGAGAAGTCTTTAGATGAGAGTGTTTTTTATCATAAACTCTTTTTTAAACATCTCTGTCAACTGGGGATCCTGGGTGATTCAGTCGATTAAGCACCGACTCTTGGTTTCAGTTCAGGTCATGACCTCACAGTTTCTGAGTTCGAGCTTTGCCTCTGGCTCTGCGCTGACAGCACAGAGCCTGCTTGGGGTTCTCTCTCCCCCCCTCTCTGCCCCTTCCCCTGCTTGGTACCTCTCTCTCAAATAAATAAACATTTTAACAAGTTTAAAAAAACAAATAAACATCTCTGCCAATCCAAAAGAGCATGCCAGAACTTTTGGCATGAAAATACTGTAGATGCTGTATGGTCAATACATCGTTCCCCTTGGTCAACTGTGGTCGAGATGACCTCAGAGTGCCAGGCTGTGAGGTGGGGGCAGAGGAGGGAAAGGCCGTCTGAAGGAGACATGTGGCTAATGGGAGTAGTTATTTCTAAATCGGCTTCCAGATCAGGTATCTGCAAAGCCATGGTCCTTCTGACAATTACTGCACTCCAACCATACATGCTGGGTCTCCAATCAGAGTGAAACCAAAGATTCCAGAAGAGAAAACCTTGTGTTTTTTATTTTGTGTGTATACACGTGTGGGCATTTATGCCCATCGATACACCTTCCCAAGTATATTTCCCATTCTACTGGTTACTCGGCTGAGTTACTCTGGTAGGAGAGTGCACAAGGGACATGTCAATCAAGAGTCACATGACAGTTTCAGCTCTTATTTCACTTTTTAAAGAAAGTTTATTTTGAAAGAGAGAGGGAGAAGGGGGAGGGTGGGTCAGAGAGAGAATCCCAAGCAGGCTGCATCAGCGCAGAGCCTGACATGGACCCTAATCCCACAAACAGCGAGATCATAACCTGAGCCAAAATCAAGAGTCGGACACCTAACCGACTGAGCCACCCAAGTGCCTTCTTGTTTCACTTTTTGAGTGTTGCTATGAACTGTACCGAATTCATATGTGGAAGTTCTAATTCCCACTGTGGTGGTATTTGGGGGTGGCCCCTCGGGGAGGGTAACTAGGGTTAGATGAAGTCATGAGGGTGGGACGGTCATGAATGGGATCAGAGACCTCATGAGAAGAGACAGCAGAGAGATTGCCCTCGCTCTTCCTCCCCACCACGTGAGGACACAGGGCCAAGGCGGCCAAGGCGGCTGTCTACAAGCCACGAAGAGAGCCCTGATGAGAACTCAACCAGGTTGGCACCCTGGTCTCAAACTTCCAACCTCCAGAGTGTGAGAAAATAAATTTCTGTTGTTTAAGCTCCCCGGTCTGTGGTGTTTTGTTACGGCAGCCCAAACTGACGAATACAGGTACACTTCCTTTAATTCGGCAAACGTACTGACCATCTCACATGAGCCGGGCACTAACCAATCCTGCAGGGCACAGAGAAATGAGTAGCATGCAGCACCTGCCGATAAGGAGTGCTTACCAGGGGCACAGAGTATGAGCTGGTATGCATTTCAAAGAGCCAAAGCAGATGGTTTCCCTTTGCTGTCTCCCTCCTGGGCTCACAGGGTGGCAGCCTGTGGGCCTCAGTGACCATCAATTTACCAACAAAAGCGCCTGGGAATGACAGGGCTCGTGAAGGTACAGGCTGTTGCCAGCACCAGGGGGTCCCCGGCCACCCAGATACAGAACATGTGATGCACAGGCCATGCCTGAATTTGGAAGATACTACAGCAGATTTTTTAATTGCTGGGCACCATACTTTATCTGTCCAAACGACTGCCATTCTTTTCAGAGCCGTCACGGGATTTCTATGACGCCTGCTAATGCTCACAACATTTTTGATAATCTTTCGGGATGCCTGTGAAGCCTGTGTCACATATGGAAAAGCATCCTGACTGGTGAGAAATCTCTTTGCCCTCAGAATGGATCCGAGTTTTTTCTAAGTGGCAAAAGTCACTTAAAGTCAATTGTTGTAAGTGGGACAGAGGTGGGGGAGGTGAGCACGCTGGGTCACACTGGTCTTACAATATGTGGTGATTACTGTGGGTTCTTGGGGGTTATGGGGAGGTTTCTGGCCCAAACTTGGAAATGACAGGAGTAGTAGTTCCTTCCCTTTGAGAGTTAAACGTTAAAGCCAACATCTCAACAGAATTGATCAGAGACACGGAAACTGACCCAGGAAGCGAAAGAATTACTCTCAGGGCTGGTATAGTTTTTTCTAGAACATGATTAAGCGTAGTAATCGTTCTATGGAAGGGGCGGGGTGAGTGGAAGGTGTGTGTGGGGAGGGGAATGCAGGGGGAAGGAAACGTGGTCTTAGCCAACAGGCCTTGAATATTGAGGCCCCGGAAGTAAGGCCGTTTACATGGTGGACGTGGAGGCCTGGAGTTACTCTAGCTGACCATATGAAATGCTCATCCATGTAACTCTCCTTCTAACGCCACTCCTTCTGAAGAATTCACTGAGGCAATGCTGAGTCCTAGATATGGTGCTGAGTAACTCCCCCATATGACCGCCTTACCATCTAGCATAAGAGTCTATCATTCCTTTTGCCAATGGAGATCCTGAGACTTGGAGAGATCAGGCAGGCCGTCCTGGGTCTCACAGCAAAGCCAGGATTCCAGACAAAGTCAGGCCAGACTCAAGGGCCACGTGCATCACGTCTCTGCCATCTTGCCTCTGCTGACTCAGTTCTTGGGTGAGAAGTCAAAGGCCCCTGTGCCCTGAGGGCCCTGTGTGGGTGAGGGTGATATCACTCACCTGAAGCCAGTACACTCACACCATGGATTTACACGTCGGTACTTTGAACTCGGGTAACGTGAATCTTCCCCCGAGGACGAACCATCATGTTTCTGAGTTGGCAGAGCTTAAGAACGGACTTGACATGCTGAAGAAATCACCAGAGTAACAGATGCCATTCTAGGAGCCTCGTGACGGACTTGTGGCTGCTCTGTGGTGACACAGCCCTGTGATTTACCCTGTAACCACAACCCTGTCTGCAGTAAGAAAACGAGTTTTCTCGGCGAGTCGTAAACTGAAGGCAACCACCAGGCTCTGAGCTCTAGCCGCACCGCCAGGATAACCTCTGTCGCCTCCAACTACCTCTTTTAAAGAACCGTATGCATATCTTGCTTAAAAAGTGAAAAGGGTGAGTCCCGTTACTTTTATACAAAGGCTATCAGAGGTCCTATGTGCCATGCTCCGTGAAAAGCCCAAATTTATTAGCCACAGTTTACGAAGAGGGAAATAAAGGCACTGAAGGGGAAGATAACAGATCCCAGAAGATGCGGAGGGGACAGCTCCTGAATCTGAGGCTCCTGTGGAAGCCACACTCTCTTCCTCTGCTGTCACGGTGACCGGCGACACGGCCGCGGGAAGGTGCCGCATCGGTGAGAAGGAAGACTCCGGCCCCACGGGCCTGATGGATGAGTAGTGTGAGCGGGAAACAAACCGCACCGTTAAGCCCCTGTGACGTCTGGGGCTGTGTGTCATCCCAGCATAACCCGGCCTACCCTGATTGATTCAGGCAGCGTATCAATTACTCTCTAATTCTCTGTATGGTTGGTTTAAAAACCACTTAAGGCTTCAGCTCTGTGATTTCCTGATCTTGCAACCTGAGACAATATCCCACCTCGACACCATGATGATTAATGTGCTACATGGTTCCGAACATTTCTTAAACTCGTTTAGAGAAAGTTGCTCGGTAAGCACAAAGCTTTGGGCCATGATGTACTTGGAAGGGATGTTTACAGAAGCCTTGCTGATTGCACTTTGCTGGTTACTTGTGCTGTAAACATTCATGGGGCTTTGCAGGGGCCAGGCGGGGAGCGAAGACAGAAAGGCAGCCGGTGGCCCAGTCGAGCCCTACAGGACATACCGGGCAAGCTGTGTGCATGTCAGGTCAGAAGCCAGCCGCTCTGGGTCACTGGGGTGTCCTGGCCTGATGAGGTCAGCGCATTTAAGTCTGGCTTCCTCCCAGTGTGTAATTAACTATGCTCACTCGAGAGCTTCCCCCTTTGCATTTTCTTTTTTTCCTCAGGTTCTTTTTTCATTTGTCCTTCTACGTTTTTATTCCTCCTTATGCATGACAAATGGAACCTCTTTGTAAATGTCCCTCTCAAAATGTGCTGCCTGATGGAGCTGCTCATGATGTTAGCAAGATGGCCTTTCTGGGGCTTAGAAGCCTGGGTTTCGGTCACATTCTTCAGGGGAAAGGGCAGGGTAGCTCTTTGGCATTGTGGTCTCACTCTGCCACCCCGATCTGATTTCCGCAGGGCTCTGGACTATTCCGGTGGC